GCTAACAATGGTGGGAGTACACACAGGTGAGGATGGGAGGGACTGTTCATTGATATTTTCACCATCATATCTCACAGACATGCTCTGAGGTGGCCAGGAAGCAGGCTTGAAAATTAATTTCCCTGTGTGTGGTGCTTGCAGGGTTTACAGCAGCCATGCTCAGCCATGTGACAAAACACCTTTTTTAAGTTCCTTTGCCTGGCTCTCTTTGCATCTCTTTCTTCTAATTTTACACTTGGTCTTCTACATCCTTGGAGAAGAGGAAATCACCAAAAGTAAGATCTGAGTACAGCAAGTACTTAAATAATTTCACTTATATTTAAGCCTTTGAAGTCCCTAGCACTGCAGAGAAAACAACATTGTGGGGAAAGAGATTTGTCCATAAAGAAAAAGCATTTTGGATTTAGGTACCTAGCTCAGTCTGGAGACATGGCATGAAACTGTGGGGGTTCAGTTTTATTTTTTTTGCAACGCATTTATGCCTGGACAGCAATACTAAACACCTTCCAGGTACATGAGAATCTTGTTAACATTTTCTTTCTGGCTTGTTTTTATTATTTATAATCAATTATAGAGTGGATGCACAAACACTCAGGTTAACAGAATGTGCTCCAATCTTCTCTAAGCACATGGTTAATGTTTCCTTCAGAAATGTTGCAGCATAATTTGTCTTCGGGCAGTGCAAGTTCAGCTGTGCAGCACACCTCACTAAACACACCTAGCCTGTCACTGGAACCCAGAAATCTGCTGGGTTTGCTTGCCCACGACTCAGATTAGTCCTGTGAGGGTCTGAATGCAGCCAGGTGACTCCTCCATGAGCAGTGCCAGGAATTCCAGCTTCACTGGCACAGCTGGCAGCCCTGCTGCAGGAACCACTGCCTGATACAGGAACCTCAGCAAGCAAAGCAGGAACTTGAGATGCTTGTAGGCAGCTTGGGCAACAACATCAAAAAACATATACTTGAATAAATAATCCTAGTCCTGTTCAAAGAGGTATTAAAACATTATATGTTTTCCATATTGGAACATAACCCAGAGGGACATTCATGCATTATTTTTCTTCAGTGATGGGGTAGAAAGTGGGTTTAGGAGGTGTTATTTACTTGCAAGTTCTTTTTTAGTAAATTGTCTTTCCTGCCAGAATGGAGTGATATGCAAGGTTTAGGTCTGTGGTGCAGATATAAACCAGCATGGTGCCCTCTCCTCATACAGGCCCTTGCACCTGAGTGGATTTCCTCATGTGGAAAGGCACAGAGACATCTTTCTTTTGTTTTACTAGTGCGAAAGTTAAGGAAGAAATGATTCCTATATAACTTTTTTTTCCTATGCATGATGTCACCCTTTCCCTCCCTCTCTCTGGCCTCAAATTCCCTAAAAACATCAACTATGGCATTCTTCATGGGCTTTCTGAGCTTCCTGCCACTTTCCCAAATCGACAAGGCTGAGATAAGATCAATCCTTACAGTTGGGTGGTAGCAAGACTCTCTGTTCCAAAGAACATCTCTTTTGCCTCAAAAGGCTGTTTGTGAAATGAGAAACATAATTCTTGACCTGTTCTGAAAAAAAGTAGCAATTATCCTGTATGTATTTATGTGAAGAGGGGAAGATTTTTAGTTCCTGTCTCCCTCCCTTTGTCAGAAACATGCATTGTTATGGAAGGTTACAGAAAACCTTGCAAACCTTTTAGGAGAGTTTGATTCAGACCCACCACATGTAGACTTTTACATTCCTTTTATCTGTTTTTCTGCACCTGTTTTTGTTCCAGCTCCTGCTAATATGCAAGAGGAAAATCGTGTTCAGGTGGAGAAAATTGCATTGGTAGTTCCTAATGTCAGAGTGCTACATGGGTAAATGAAAAGAATTCACGTTCCTTATTCCACTCCCAAAAACAAATCCCTAGGGGAAATCCTTTAACTTCTCTCTACCTCAGACTCCAGCTGAGTTTCACCTTCTCCCCATATTCACACCCCCATGATTTGAACTGAGTGTGGAAGGAGCAGAGATAGGTATGGACAGTGGATATAACCCTGCACATTTCCTTTGGGCTCTTGGCCATGCTTTCCAACATTGTTGCATTTTGAGTTCATAGCACAGCAAAGATTTTCTTGCTCATTTAATTTTCTCTTCTCATGCTGCAAGGCTTAGTTCATTAGCTTGAAAGACTGTCACGCTTCTGGAGAACAGAATATATTTGGCAGGAGTGGATAGTAATTATCTAAAAATTCAATCAAGCCATTTTTTTGATTGATTTTGGGATGAGATATATAGGCTTCAGTGGAATTAATTGCATCGTAGTATTTTTTTAATTTATGTTTTAAGCATCAGATTGCTCCACCACTCCCACTTTCTTTGATACATTTATTTTTTCTTCTTACCAATTATATACGAAGTCTCTTGTAGGTAAATGCTCTGACTGTATTTTTTTTTTATTAAATTTGTCTTCCACTTCCAGTGATGTTAGTATTGCAACACCCATGTAGCTGAGAAGAATTTTACAGGAGGGTAATTTTCAGTCTTAAAAGTGCCACTGGCCAAGCAAGTAGACTTTCTTGAAATCTGCAGAAGGTACAAGAACATAAAATAACACTGATTCTGACTGATGAACATTTCCTAAGGAATTTGTTTTCATGACATGAACTTAATGTATAAAGCTTAAGGAAGTATTTTAAATAGCAGTGAAAACAAAAAATATGAGACCTAAATTACAAAAGCAGAATGGTATTATGACAGTAATGCTGCTGTTATCAGACACTGCTTGCTGATGGACCTTGATGATAAAACATTGCTCAGAAAAATGCCCCATCAGTGCTGTGATACCATCACATCCCCTGCTCCATGGCTGAGCCAAAAAAAGCCTGTTCAGTTCTGCATCTCTACATTTTCAGCTCTGATGGATTAGGAAGTAATGAAGAGGATTTCTCAGAGAGTGATTTATTGTTAACCTGATTGTGCATTTTTTTCTGTATCTATTCTGTTGCACAGACTTATTTGTAAGAAAATGAGACTGAAAATTCATGTGGAGGAAAGCAACAAAGCCAACAGAAAAAATGCCTTGAACTGCTTGTGTCAACTTCTCTCCTGAATTCTGAGGACTTGTGCAGTCTGAAATGTCTGATCCATTGGGAATGTGACATCTATTAAGTGGCACAGGAATCCAGTGTGAAGACTGGTTTTGGTAAAATTGAAGGTGACTGAGTTTGGGGGTGGAGAGGGAAGTGGGGTTGTGTGTGTTTAAATAAGGAGTTGATACTGGAGCTTGGTGTACCCCCTTTTCCTAAACAGTAGAGGAATTTTTTTTCCTATGGTTTGCTTAACTAAAATAATTTGGTCTTCTCAAGAGTATCTGATAGAGGAATCTGGAAAAAAAGTGATGCTAAAACCAACCTGCATTTACTACACAGCTGAACTTTTACGTTTTTCAGCTGTTGTTTTCCCATTGTTTTAATGGATCTTACTTCCCCTGTAAGCAGAATGGGTTTTCAGGTTTTGGAGGTGTGAAGGTGTATGATAGGGGAACTGAATGGTGTGAACCCTTTGGGACTTATTTCTTTAACACCTGCAGTTACTAGTTTGTAACCCCAAAGGCATCTCCTTCCTTATCCTTTTTAGGCAGAATGTTTTTAAACAAATTAGCACCAAGTTTGTTAGATATGAACCACACATCACCTGGGATGTGGCTGTTTAAAAACTGTCTGGTTTACCCTTTATTTTCTGCTATGCTATTTTATAATGTAGAAAAGTATTTAAAATAAATTTTAGTTTCTATTGCAATTTCCTTGTGTTACCTTATAAAGCTATAATTTGAAAGGCAGGTTCTGCAAGAACCATTTGTGTCGAGCTCCTGTGTCTTGTTCCTACTTCACCAAGAGAAAAATTAATGGTATTGTCCTTTCAGATTCAAGAACCTTTTTCAGAGAATGTGGACTCTGCTGGATTTTGCTATCTTCATCTTCTCATTTATCGTTATTTTGTAGCTGTCCCAGTCATAATTTCATAAACCATGTGGTCAAGGCTATAAAGGAAAACAGGAACAGTTTGCATGGATTTTCATTCCAGGTTTGTGTAAGGATAAAATGGTCATTAGCATTTTCATTCATTTGCAGTTCTAAAGTTCAGACCAAGATCAGCAAACCTGAGGCTAACCAATAACTGAGGTGCTAATGGGACAAGAGAGAAGGAGAAAGTAGGGGCAAGAATTAAACTGAGTTACACTTTAAATCATGTGCAATTGCAAAACCAGAATCTGAGCTACTGTCTAAGAAACTGCCAGTGCTCCTGGAGCAATGTGTAGGGTCTGTATGTAAAGGATTGTTTCCTTTCAATAGCATTTACAGTTTGTAGACAAGAGTTATGTTCTGTATTGTATGGCCAGAGATACAGCCATTTCAAATATCATTGTTAAAATCTACTAGAAGCAGAGATCTTGCTACTCATGTGATCACTGAGCCGTGGCCAGCTGCAGGGCTGCAGGCAACATTTAACAGAAAGGACAAGTGGAGTCCACTGCAGTTGGTAACTCCTAGGGCAGTAATGCAGTAGAAAATCCCAGGTCCTGTTGTACTGCTGGAAGGAGTGGCTGAGGCAGTGTTCTGCACTGCTGCTGACCTTGCTGCAGCCAGGGCAGTGCTGCAGCCCTGCAGCCAGCACGGGGCTGCTCCAGGGACAGACACTCCACAGGCCCACCCCGAGCCATGGGGGTGTCCTCTGGATCTGCTTTCCTGTCCCCCAGCACCTCCCTTCTGTTTGCACAGGTAAATGTGCACAGCAAGGGGAGCAGCAGGAGCAGGGGCTTTGCCCTCTGAAAGCACCTGCCTTTGGCAGCACTGTGGCAACAACTGCTTCTCAGCTGAGCTGCAGCTCCTCACTATCAGCTTCATCAGCAAAATGTTTAAGGTTCTGTTCTAGAGCTTAAGTGTGTTTTGTACTGCTAAAAGCGGCACTTCAGTGCTGCAAGGTGGTTCTAGGAGCAGGTCAAAGGTTGCCACTACAGTCAGCAGTAGTCTCTTTGCATGTCACTTATTTTTGACAGGTTTTTTTTTTACAAGCATTTGCTTTTTATTATTTTCACCAAAATAAAGCATACAACATACAGTGTTTTCACACATTCAGGAGATAAATAAGTGTATCTTGAATTATTTAATACCGTGATAACATATGTAATACAAAGTTATTTCTTCAATTATTTTAATTTAAATACAGCTTGTTTGCCTTTTTTAAAAAACAAACTTTTATTGTGTTACCATACATTTCCCTTGTTAAATGTTTAAATAACAATGGGGAAAATACAGTGATGTGTATTTCTAGAAATAAAAAGTTGCTCTATTAGGATGAAACCTGTATATCAAGTTACCAACCTGTAAATTAAAAAACCCAACACAGTAAATGAATGCTATCACTTGAACCGATAAAGAAAACCTTAAGAGAATAAGAAATACTTCACCTCCAATTTGTTTGTAGAATAATAAGAAAATAATCCAGTTTTTGTATTTCCACACTGATTGGTATGCATATTAATTTATCTTCTACTTGTTTGCAATTATAAATAAATAGAGGTATAAAGACAAAATCTCATACTGCCGTTCCCTTGAATTTACCAGCTACAGTAGATGCATATTTTAAGATCATAAATACATTCCCATTCAACTTAATCAAATACCATAGGACTAGGTTCATGTGCTTACTTTCATGCTGCATAGCTGAGAAAGGAAAAAGTGTGGTGGCACTTGGTATCTTTAATGGCACTTCTTTCAGCAAAGGATAAGGATGCATTTGTGTCACCAGCCAGGGTTACCCTTCAAACCAGTCCCTTATAATCGGCTTGAAAAATACATGGAACACTCAGTAAAGCAACAATTCCTGTGCTGTGTGCCAAGCCTTAGCTAATGGTGCAAGGATCATCGTGGCTTGATTTCATTTCCCCTTCCAGCAGCAAGGTGATCACAGCCTTGCTCAAGTAGCTGCACGTTCCCTTTTTTCCAAGTGGGTGGGTGTTGTAGAATGCAGTCATGTCACTCTGCAGAGAGGGAACAGAGGCTGCCATTAGTGTGAATGTGGAAAGCAGCCACACACAGGGAAACAAGAACAACATCAGCTATGTTAAAAATGCAAATGTGCTTTTTGGACTCTAAAGCTAGAGAATAATTCTGCTCAATTGTCAGAAATCTCCCATATGTACTTACCTGCATCTATTTCCTCACTGAGTTTTCCAGGACTGCACAGAAACCACCTTCTTAACATTTTTAAAAATGTCATAGCTGTCAGAGAACAACTGCTCTCCTAAAACATGCAGCTGTGTGATGCCTGTGTGGTAGAATGGTGAGCCAGGGCCTTGGGTGTACATGAGGTGTAAACTGACTTAAGATTTATTTCAAAAGAAAAAATCCAAGATCCAAACCACAGGTAGCACATGAACTCATTCATTAATCAGATCACCAAAATAGATGTCCTTCACTGAACACCTGTTTTTCACAGTTAGTGACACTAAAACACCTGCTTACTCTCAAATTATGCATTAGCTGCTCTAAAAAAGGTTTAATGCTTTAATTCAGGAAATTGGTTACTTTTATTAAATCAAGGGCAGAGATTGTGTGGAGAAAATAATAAGACTTCTGTAGTTTTAGGGTGTGTCTGAACTTACTAGAATAAATACATTTGATATTTATTACATGTTAACAGGGAATCAGCAAAGTTCAAAATATTTGCAAATCCATTTCATGGAAGACCATAGTTCTGACAAATCAGGAGTTTTTAGCAGTGTTAAGAAACCTCGAGACAGAGCAATCCTAAAAACAATCCCAGACAGGGTTACAGTTACTGCCAGCAGGCATCCACCTGGGATTATGGGAGAGCCAAGTTCCAGAAAATTTTAATGGAAGAAGCTGAATTTCCAACAACAATCTTAGTCACAACTCTAAATCAGGGGGCTCTAAGAGACAAAAATTTTCAAAATTTTTCTTTTCTTTTTCATTATTCTAAGTATGTCTAGGCTTAGAGAAAAAAACCCCATCACTTCAATAGAGGCTAGGGCAGCACCAGTAAAAGCTGGAGTTTGAATGAAATTTTCCATTCTATTTGTAGCCATTGGGGATTTACAGCTTGTCACAAAAGGCACTAGCAAATTCCAGGTGCTGTGTGGAACTGGCACTTGAGAGCCATTTGTGTGGATGATGGGTGGCTTTGCTATGGTCACAGAGTCACTACCCTCCAACCAAAAAGATTCAAAAGGATCATGTGGACCAAAAGGATCATAATTGCCAGGAAATTATGTTCTTTTCTAAAAAAAGTTATTGTGCAAATTGACATACTGCTGGGGCTGGGTATCTGGCTGGCTTTCAAATCTTAGTACAAAAAACCAGTGGCAAAAGAGTGAACATTGAAACATCTGAAAGTTCTTAAGCAGCACATCCTTCCTCATCTTTTAAAGGAACTAAAAATTCAGCAAGAGGAAGAGCTGTTGCATGTCAATGTTATGAATCAATAGAATCTTCAGAGCTAGGAGAGATAACTTCAGATATATTGTCCACGATAAAATGTCAGCTGGAGCAAGGGAAGATCATTCTCAGTAGCTCTGGGACTTGTCTCACTATTTTACTCTTATCTCCTCCTTCAACCAGGCCAATAAACCTGGCTTTATTACAGAATTTCAGAGCTCTGAGACACCAAAACTTGTAGTGAGACTATTCAGAGATCTTTAAGGCACAAAACCTAGAATTTTAGTGAAGAAAATATTAAAAGCATTTATTCCTTTATTTGAATTTTAGCCAAACTTTTGCCAGTTCATGAATGCCAATCTAACAGAAAAATCAGTAAGTAAGAACAGTTCTTATCTCAGGTTCATACTTTAATACTGTCAATATGAATTCTTTGGTTATTAAAGTTTTCTTAGTCTCTGTGTACAAAAGATCCTAAGTTCACACTTCCTCACTGAGCTTTAGTTTCTTTTTTTTGTTAGTTTTAACTCTTCTCTGTTCTAGTGTCCCTCCCAAAGAATTCTTTCCCCTTTGAGGAGAACTCTTCCAGCTCACTGAGAGTCCCATTTCAGAGCCACGGAGCACAGAATATTCTCCTTACTGTAACATTTTGAATTTACAACTCAGCAATAAAGTGCATCTCTTTCATTGCTGCTTAGAGGCTCTTTGCAGACCTAGGCAGCCCTTGGGTATATTAATTTCTTATTTGTGTTTCATTCTGAACTTCTGTCAATTGCTTTTTACTCTGAACTGCACAGAATTAACATTTAGAAGTAACTTCAATAAGAATGGTAAATTTGGTAAGACAGCAATATTTTACTCACTTGATTTTCAGCTCCCTTTGGACTGCTGTGATCTTTCTGAAAGTCATGAAATGCTTCTTGCACCACCTTGTCCAAGTCCACTTTGTCCTGGAACTCTAGCTCAGGATTTCTCTCCAAAATAACAGATATAACCATCAGCAACTAGAAGGCAGAAAAAGATTGTTAAGACTTTAAATTTCATTTTTTTAAATTCAGGTTACATAATAGCACTGCTAGTAATTGCATGTGTCTCTTTCAAGCAGGAAACGAAATAATGCCACAGGTGATAGTGCACAGATAATAGAATTCTGACTTGATAAAAGAATCACTGGAAAAGCAGGCTTTTATGAAAGGTTTCAATTGCTGGTGACTGCCTAGGTAAGGGCATGGTGTAAATGATTGACATTAACATCTAACCTGGCTGGGAGCCAGGGAAGTTATTTTCCATTTTATGCTGTTCACTGTGTGGCTGCACATGCTGTGGAGAGAGTGAAAGGCAGCAAACATTGAACCTCAGCATTTGGTGTTCTGAGGCATAATCACAGATGCTAAAATTCTGTTATGACAAAGTTTATCAAAACCAAAGAGAACAGTCAGCACTAAAGTTTCAGTTCACCAGAATTTACATTACTTACATGCGAAAAGGGTTTAAATGGGAAGGTGAACACAGTGAGTGTCCTGTTGTAACAACTACAAGTAAGCAGTGGAGTCTGCACTGGTTACCTTGTGTTTGGTACTTGCTATCTTTTAGCAAAAACTGGGAGAGTACCAGCAACCAGCCTGAGCAGAAGCTGTGAGACAGAATTGGGAGGGGTTTGGTGTTCCTGGGGAGGAGCACCAGGGGCACAGCCCTGGGGACTAACAATGAATGCTGCTGCCAGCACAGATGCCAAGGGGGCAGCTGCTCCTGATCTGTTCTGGAGGCAAATATTGTCTGCAGTGGGGGGAAGGATTCAAACAGCCTCTTGCTGTCCTGTTAGGATAAGGAACACAAGGAAATGGGAAGGTGACTGATTCAGAAGAATAATGCTACTCACTGGACAGCCTCAGCAGAATGGGAAAGAAGAATGGTTCAGAAGGCAAGCTGGTTATTTTAGAGCAGTTTTCCTTAGATCTAGGAAATTGTCAGGAAAAGACATGGGCTAAGGACTTGAAGGAAAGCTACACTGGAATTATTATATTTTTACCCCCTCTGACCTAATTGTATTTCTAGTGTCATTAATATTTGCTGAAGGGGAAGAACATCTTGAACTCACTCTGTTCTGAACATGTAACAGGAACCTGTTTAATCATAAAAATCTATGGAGAAAACCTCTAAAGCAAATGTTTACATGGAAAATGCTATTTCTTCAAGTATTTAAGTCCAAGTTATTTTTTTGTTTTGTTTTAGGCTGTAACATACTAATGCACACTAGAAAATGTCATTAATTATTGGCCACAGACCTCCACGATGATTTGCCTGTATTGTGGCTGGTCGATGTTTTGCAGCATATCTTCAACTAGGAGGGAGAAATTCATTTCGTACATGGTCATATCCGATAAGGTTGGTTGCTGAAAAAGAAATCCTACTTTTATTCAAAGACCATGTGCATTAAATCAAACCCACCCCCAGGCAGAGCCTACTTCCTTGCTGAACAAATAATATTCAACTAAGAAATAATAGTATGATCAAAAAAGGAGCAGATTTCAGAGCTCATGACTTGGAAAGAATCTTCTACAATTACAGTTTTATAAATGTGCTTTAATAGAAATTATTTGCTTTCATTCTGTTCTAATTGTATTTTACTCCAAATAAAACAAAACTTGATTTTTTTTTTTCCCCCAAATAACAAGCTACTCTAAGTAAAACATGATGGCATAAAATAACCATTAGTGATAAGGAATTTCACCATTAGTAGTCAGGTGGAGCAGCAGTGCCTGAGCCTGTGTGTGGGATTACCTGGGGCAGGAATCTCCCTGCCACGATCAGGCCGTTGGGGGTTCTCTCCAGGATCTGCCACACGCGGTCGTAGAAGCCCGCAGGAGTTCTGTTCAGGGAGCCATCCAGCTGCCTCCTGTTCAGCCAGCTCCTGTGGGCAACAGGGACAGCCTCAGCACAGGCTCTGCACAGCCCTGGCAGCGGCAGCTGAGCAGAGACCCAAGGCAGCCGTGCTGCGCTCACAGCGCTGTGTGCAGGCTCTGCTCTGCCGAGGGGCACCTACAGCAAACACGGGCTCAGCAGGCAGAGATCACAATGTGGTGTGATCTCTTGGGCTGTCTGGGATTTATAGAGCTGCAGAAGCAGCAGCAACTGGGAAACACATCCAGTGCAGGCCAGTAACAGTAGCAGATCAAATTCATCAGGTCTAATCATATAAGAAAAATGCATTTCAGCAGAATTGTTGAAGGCAGGAGTTTTTCCTGATGATCTGTAGAAAATAAGTGGCCTGCAAATTCAGAAGATTCAACAGAATGGTTTTGTACAACTAAGCCTTTGAGCAAACTGAGTCATATTCTTCATGAATTACAAATCCTGTTTGCCTTCAGAAGTATTCCAACATTTTACTTAAAACCATGAAGTATGGAATTTAATTTTCCTATTTTTTCTTCTCCATGTTACTACAGGAATGGGACTTTAGCCAGAGTGTTTAAGATACCAGCAATGGAACTTGAAGAAGTGATATCCACGGCTATGAATTAATTGCTAGATTCACAAGACAGATTTAAGTCTTGTGTGTGGCTGTCCTGAATATATTTGACATAGAAGTTACTTAGTCCTTAGCTGCTTTTTGAATTTTAAGTAAAAAAATCAACACACACTTTATTTTCTAGAAAAACTATAATTAAATTACTTCTTTGCAACATGCCTTAGTTTTTGCTCCATTTGTATTCATAGATTAAAATGACATGCTTAGAATAAAAACACTTCTCTGTAAAGTGACCTGCTCCTGCAGACACCAGTGTGCTTGATGAAATTACTAAAATATTTTGCATTAAAAAACCTTTACTCTTAAATACTGGAGAAAAGGTGAGAATTCCTTCTGACATACAGCCAGTAAAGAAAACACTGACAACTCCATGCATGGTTTTACACTTAAGTTTCTTAGTGTGGCTTACTCCCAGCTACACCACAAGACAAAGCAGACAGTGTTGGTTTGTTTTTTTTCTGTTTTGGGTTTTTTTTTTAAAAGCATAAATGGGAAAAAATAATCACTAAGTGGTGCCTTTGCTGAACAGGTTTGAGCTCTAGGTAATTGGGATACACTTTCTGAGAACAAAGGAGATGTTTAAAGTTAACCCTATAAAGCCAGGGCTAAGTCAAGATACAGTGTGGGCTCTTTTCCTGTATAACTGTATTGGATAAACATGGCAAGGTAAGAAAAAATTTCTCATCAATCACTTCTCAATTAAACACTGAACTACCAAAAAGTCATGTCTACTATGACAGTTTCATCTTACTCTCTGTACAGCTCTGTCCTTGGATTAGGATAAAAAAAACTTCCATAAAAGCAAAAAAACCAGGGTTGTGGTAAAAATTACAAGTTGTTTTCTTAATAAAAAAAAAAAAGAAGAAATATTTGAAGATGTCAAAAATGCTCTGACCCATCTACATTAATAGGGTCAGGAAGAGAGTCATGCAAACTGAATAAGCAAAGTGATTTTCAGAACTGCTTGGACCATTAAAAGAACAATGCTCCATTTAAAAAGAGTTTCTTGCAATCTTGTGACCTACATAAATAGATTTAAAAGTGCAATCTGTGGAGTCTGTGCTAGCAAAAATGTCTTCTGTGAAAACTCGGAGAGAGGTTAGTTGTGGAGAGACTGTTAGGGAGGTAAATGGACCATTATCCCTTTCTGTATGACAAATTAATTGGCAGTGAGCTATGGTATCACATTACCAGAGATTTTTTTTCTAAAAACATCCCAAAAGCAGGAAAAGCTATCCTCAAAAAGAAAAAAAAAATAAAAGGAGGTGGAAAAAAAATAGTATTCTGTATTTCCTGGCAGGAAGAAAACTTTTAAAAACAAGTCACTAATGGGCAAGGAAAAATGAGTTAGCAATACTGTAGAGGAAGTAGTTAGAAAAGAAGTTAGAAGACTGAAAGTTTTGAAGGATATGCTGAGTTTTTGTACTCAGATAACCCAAAAAAAGAAGTCCTCAGCAACTCAAGCAACTCAACCCAAGTGCCCTTCAGTGACCTACCCATTGTGTGTTACAGGCATCACAAGCAGCAGCTGCTGTGGCAATGCAGGTAAAATCTCTGACAAAAGGTGGTGCTTGAATTGCTTACTGAGATTGACCAAATGCTTCCTAAAAAGCATTAATATTGAATGGAAGATGCTGCAGAGGGGTTGTTCTGCTGTGGTTTTACAGGATAGTGTCAGCACCAACATGAGCAGAGACAGCACCTAAACAGCAAGAACTGATAAGCACAGCCAAAGCTCTGAAAAGCATCTGGGAGATAGAGAACAGAGCCCATGGGACTAAGAGATGAGGCAGTGATTAAAGGAGCTCTTTTCTCAGGGATTATAGATTGGGGAAAAACACAGGTGTGTTTTGAATGAAGCAGGAACATTAACAGCAGGATGTGTGGTATAATTCCCCTTTGTTGAGGAAAAGCCCATCACCCATTCAGTCAAGGACTATGGAAATTACCAGCAATATTATGTGCCAAAGTTTAACTTAACTGGAATTAAAACCAAGAAGAAGAGTTTTGACTTCTCTCTTACCAATAAAGTTATGTGAAAATACTGCAGTTTTAACTTTTGTCTTGCATATTTGATATGACAATTAATGTTCTTTTTGGCAGCTGGTTACAGATTGGAGAAAAGATTTCAAGTTTCAGGCAGTACCACTATCTTTTAAGAATTCTAGAGAACATCTGCTCTTACTCATAATAACTCAGAAGAAAGCAGTCCCTGAACAGCAGATAAACTGTTCTTACAAGTTACTTAAGTGGAGGTATTGGGAAATTTTTGGCTCTTTTCCCCACATCAAAAAATGTAATAGTTCACATTAGAGCAGACAGATCTCTTTTCTGTGGCAGTAAAGAGATTTCCAAAAAGATAAAGCTGAAAAAAGGAATATGCAATAGAAAAGAAACAATTCTGGAACCTGGACCCATGTGAAAGAATGAAAAAGTGCATTTTTGCTATGTTCCCTTAAAAAAAATTACATAACTGATTACAGATGCCTGGTGATTTCAGGTGCACACAGAGCAGTTCAGGAATGGAATGTACCTGAACATTTCTGAATGAAACTGGGAGCCACAGCCCCACACCTCGTTACCTGCCCGGCTGCTGAGGCTGCAGAATGTCCAGCAGGAGCTGCTTCACCTCACTGGGGGACATCTGGTACAAGTCCTTGGCTGGCATATCCCCAGCACGGATTTTCAGTTCATACTTCATAGCATGGATGATCCATCTACATAAGGGGAGGAATATATTTATTCATTAAATACAAAGTTTCCGAATAGGAAAAATAAGTCTAATAAAATAGCTCATAAGAATTCCACACAATGTCAGGACGTGCTTAAAATATCAGACAACTACTCTCCTACTCTTCGTGTTTGATTGGAACATGATACAAGCTGAAAGGGATAATGCAATTAAGAAATGTGTTGTGGACCATGTTTTCCATAGAGAAGATTGATTGGACTACATTCCCTATATTCCATGTTCATTAAGACCAACATTTACCTGCCCTTTGATGTTAAAATTCCTAGTCAGAATTATGCTCTGACTATATATGCATTTTGCTGATGAGTTTTAAAAAGCCATAAAATTTACAATATTTTACATTTATGAAGACTTCAGGGCTTATTTCTAGTTTTAGCCTTTGAAATTCCTTTTTCCAGTCTATCACACTTTCTTTTTCTGCTCCTTTTTGAAAAAAAAAACTTGATTCAATAAAAATATAGCAATAGTGAAGATTTTTAACCTGAGGTATCAGAGCAGAATTTGGCAAAGTGTTGAAGGAAAATGCCGAGTTTTATTGTGCACATTATGTAAAACCTGTGCTCCAGCCTCTGATGCAATATCAAAGATGAAATAAGGTACAGATACATCAGAAGCCAGGTAAGCACCGAATTCATCCTCTTACCCTCTACACTGGTTCAGTTCCAGTAAGCATTGCGAACAAAAGGAAACTGAACTCGCTTTTCTTCAAAGAGTCCATAACACCTGATCAAGGCTTGGTACATCAGAGCCTTTCTGTGTGTATCTGAAAATGCAGTGAGAGATTTAGGCTATCACCTCCACAGCCACATTCCTGGTCATTTCACTGTTTAGCTAACCAGGGGCAGAATGGTTTTGCTTAGGTAAGTCAAGTCACGCTCCTTTCTAGGGAGCTCTTAGTAACTCCACAGACTTTGGAGATGCCTGGCCAGCTGATTCAGTGCTGCTTTACATCTGAGCTTCCCAGGCCCATGCACTGCAGGTGCAAGATACCAGGGAGTAATAGGGCCCATTACTCTATGTAGAACATGCTACTTTCATTTCATTTGGCAAGTGATTAGAGTCCTTCTTTTGTTACTAAGATTAACAACACAGCTGGCTCAGGAATTCTTTCCCCACCCATGCCTCAGCTGTGTCTGTGTGAGTCTCTCACTGGTATTTTCTCTTGGCAGGCGCCTACAAGCCACACCAAAATCAAGGGTGGACCTTCTGCTGAGCTCTTCACTGGTAAGAGGTGAATTCAAGTCAGTTGGCTGGGAGTTTTAACAGTAATAGGGCTGTCAGAAACTTGATCTATTTCAACATGAAACCCTGAAAACAAATCAATAACAAGACACTAAATCAAATCATTATCAAACTGGAACGGCATTTCTGTGAGAAGGTTAATTTTGCTCACTGGAGTGGGTGATAACACTGAAATAAAGGAAATTGAATCTCTAGCATTAACCTTGGGAGAAAGAAAAAAAAATTGCAAAAAGGATTAGCTACAGAGAATAAGGAAGGGGAGGAAAGAGGAGTAACATGGATCTGTAGAGGGGACAGAAAAGCATTTAAAAGTGTGAAAGGATACTTCCACTTAAATGCAATACAGGCAATTTTTTGTTTTATGATGACTGGAATGGACTGCTAAAGAAGAAATATTAATCTTGTATGCTAGAAAAAGGGCGGCTGGTATCTATGTCCAGTGCTGAAATGCTGTATTTTTCTCTATGGAAAAAAAAAAAAAAAAAGGAAGATGAAACATTTAAGTTCTGATTCTAAAGCGTGCTCACTGATTCAGTAAATCTCAGTCAGTAGCACCTGGCCTCTTCAAAGAAGTGCTTATTCAAACGCATTTCTCTTCCTAAATGTGAAAAAATTAATTAACTTCTGTGGGTAGCAAAGTAAATGCAGATACCATGGAATGTGACAACATTCCAGCACAGCCTATTTGTAGGTCACCTTGTCAAAGAATGAAAGAACAGGTGGGAGGTAAATGATGTTTAACCTTGATTCAAGTTTGTGGTTCTCTGAAGTCTACATTCCCCTGCAATCCCAGAGGTACTTTACTGACCCAATCCGTATCTTCAGCATTCCACTGAAGAGTTCTGGGGAATTGGAGATGATCCAGCCAATATGGATGACAAGTTCCTGCTGCACCACAGCTTCTCTTTCATCTTGTAATCGGCATTTATCATAGATCATGTCCTTAATCACTGCGGGCGACAGGGGGTTAGAAATAACTGCTTCCTCCTGGCCAAAAGCTCCCAGTGTCACCTGTGGTACAGGGAAAGCAATTCAGAGGATAGGGACAGAAAAAAAAGCACTGCAAAGCAATTCAGAAACTAAACTGCATCAGCTTTGCTTTGCTTGTTAAAAATTTCACAATACAAGGGAAATTTTACGTCAACAGCTGATGCTTGTTAATACTGTTAATTGGATGCTATTGAAGTAATAAACTTCACTAACAACCACAGTGAATATGGAATATATTTTTCCAAATTAAAATAAAAATACAAGACCACTGCTTTGGTTATCATCAGGATTGTACATAAGGTTTAGACAGTTATATAACTTCATACATTTCAGCTGTGGAACTCACTTAAAATTCAGAATTAAATTTATGGTTTTGTTTTCTTATTTCTACTAGCATGCTAAAAGTTACAGCCTTAATTTTAAGAAAATGTATTGCTGGTACCAGATTGTTTAATCACAAAAAAGGAATTTTATTAAAATTCTGTTTTGTTTTTAATCTACTGTCAGTAACACAGCAAGACTAGTTCTTCTGCTAAAATAAAGATCATTGTTAAAACGTAATCAAGGAAGGAATGTTAGATAAAAAAGTTGCCAATTGCCTCAAATTATGCTGCATGCAGGTGTGGCCTGATCTATAGCTGAGTAGCGCCAGAAGCACAAACCTAGACCTCAGTTTGGAGTAAGACAACAACATTGCATGTAAGCAGGTATACACATATATATATTTAATTTAAAAAAATACAGAAATATTCAATTTCTATTATTTAGAAGCACCTATTCATGAATTTAATTAAAATTGTTGTACTGTGGAAGAAAAACAATATTCTCCTTAGGAAAGGAAAAAACACTGACAAGTAAACTTTCTTTGAAACAGAAAACCCTGCCAAACCCTTTGCTCAGCTGCCACCCACCTATTGTCTTATGCTCAATCACACAGAGAACTATTACATTTTCATTAAAGAAGTCTTTCAAAAGATGCCTTAATACTTCACTCCACCTACTTTTGTCAAGTAAGAGGTCATATAGATAAAATCACAGAAAGATTTGGGTGGGAAAGGACCTCAAAGATAATTTCGTTTCAACTCCAAACCCTGTCCAACCTGAACACTCCCAGGGATGGGGCAGCCACAGCTTCTCTAGGCAGCCTGTGCCAGGCCCTCCTCACTCTCACAGGGAAGAGTTTCTTCCTAAGATCTTATCTAAACCTGCCTTATTTCATTTTAAAGCAATTCCCTCTTGTCCTATCTCTACATGTCCATGCCAGAAGTCCCTCTCCAGCTCTACTGGAGCTCCTTTAGGTACTGGAAGGGTTTCCAAGGTCTCCCTGGAGACCTTAAACCCAAGGAGTTACAGAAATCATGCCCCTTCCTGTCTTCCATAAATGCTGAACTGTCTTTTCAGTCTTATTCTTTCATTAATTAAAATTATTATTTAATTCCAAATACAATTATTACTTATATCTTTATTTTCTCTGGATTTCTCTTCTTTGGTAAGGTTTTTTAAGCCATTGCATACTTTTAAAAGAAGCATCAGAGGTCTTCAAAATGAACAAGCCATTTGTTTAGTTTCTGTTATCATTCCTTAATGCAGTTCTGAGGAGCAAAGACTTACCTGCTTGCCCTGAACTAAAACATTAGTAATAGATGGTGCAAGGCTGTCCACTAGTTTACCTAAAAGACTTGCTGCGAAGCGCACAACAGACCTGAGGGCAGAAAACAGAGCAGTCCCACTGCATATCACATGCTAGTTTAATGAATTCAGATAGCAATCTGAAGTCTGCCACAGCAGAATCCCAAAATTAACTCAGTGAAACCATACATTATTTACAAAATGGAATTTGGATCAGATTTTATTCAATCTTCTTGTAAGTTTTAATTTTTTAGTTCAAATATAGGTTAATGGATCAAAAATATATTTATTTAGAACTCATTAAACTACCACTTCCATAAAAAGCTTCTTGTTCTCTTCTCAACACCATCTTAAACAAAGGCAGGTAAGAAATGCCAGCTCCTCTTTCATTTCCATTTTCATCATTTTGCAAGATAAATAGATTTTTAAATTACCAAAGTTAAGGAAAAATTAGAAAGATTTTGCAAGAGAAAGTATAACAACACCAAAGCCTTGCTGTGTGTTCCATGCTGGGGTAATATTTTGCATGTGCAGCATGATAAGAAGAGACTTGTGTCCCCTGACAGGTTAAAAACAAGCTGTAACTTCTAAGACTACATTTTTCCATATATGCAGTAGATGGTTAAAGATATGAATACATTTAATAATAATTTCCTGACAAATTACAAACCTAACAGACCTGTAATTGAGCTTTTCTAGCATAGGTTTTGAGGCTACTAAGAATCATTTATTCACAGAGAGGAGGAATAAGCTGTAATAGTCTATGGTGTTAGTAAAAAACTCAAAACAATTGATGTTGGTTCCTGTGAAAACTGCTACACACTCCTTAAGATCAAGAGCAAAGCATTTCAAAAATGCATTAGCTGATACTATCAAAATGCAAATAAGCAAAAAGAAAAAATATCTCACAGAGCTGCACTTCAGATTTCTGGGCACTTTACCTGTTTCCCATGTACCAGTAAAGTAGTAATATGTGGGGTTATAGAAGAAGAAAATTTCTGTGCAAATGCAGCACTGTAGCGCAACACCAACCTATATGTGTGTCACATGGCAATCAGGGAAGAGAAATGAAAAACAGTTTACATATTTTGTTCCTAAAAATGCTTCTGATTTTTATTAATTACAAAAAATACCATCAAGGTATTTTGATTCTACCTCACTATTGGCAAAGGCCCATTTAACTGTACGTAAAGAAAAAAATGAAAACCATATTTATATTTACTGACCTGTTAGGAATAGTTACAGAGTGAGAGAACAGAGTTCAGGACAGGCTTGACTTTGATAAAAAGAAATTAAACTTCTACTGAGATTCAGGGCAAAGAAATTAATAAACAACATGTAAATATCAACCTACTTGCTGAAACCTTTTAAAGTTATTGTGTCAAAGTCAGGCTCAAAGCAAATGACTTCAGGGCAATAAATCTGTGTTAGTGCATCAGCTTAAATGATTTATATCTTATCACCAGCCTTCCTACATAGAGCTATTGACAATATTTTATCATGCCCTGTAAGAAATAAGGAAATTAACATTCTTCTCACATTATTTTAATGTAATGAGGCCTGTGTATTCGCAGTAGCACTCAGTGCAAAACCAGACTATTGCTTTTGTATTTTAAAAGATAACAGTAAGAAACTGCTTCTTAATTTTTTTAAACCTATTAAACCAGACCTTCAGCTGCCATGCACCAATACAACCATCAGGAAAACTGCCATTTTCCCTCCTTTAAGTGTGTGAGAATCCAGCCTTACTTTCTATAAACACATTAGGAAAACAAAACTGGTGTAAGCCAGAAGGAACATGATATTTGTATACAAACCAGAGCTTTCTGCTGCCAGCTCGTCTGTAGATTCTTTCAATGTGCTCAGCAACAGTACCTAAAGACATTGAACAAAGAAAAGAAAAACAAAACACAAGCAAAAAAGATGCACAGGTTTTCATTTAACAGTAATAAGGCAAGTTTGATGAGACCAGTTAATTCTGACTCTGCTTTAGTACAGCACTTATCTATTATGCTCTACATCTAAAATTCAGATGCAATCAAGTCCCCTGTCTCCCAGTGTATGTTGTTTTGAAAAAGCCAAACCAGATTTCAGCTGAATTTGCTGCTCATGCTGTAGAGACACCCATAATATCACCTGTTCTTGCAATATACTGAGAAAAATTAATCTACATATAGATTTGGCCGATAAAGGTACACCCCATCATAAGGTACATCCTCAAATTGCAGAACCTAAAGTTCTTCAACCTCTATTTTTAGATTTATGTTTTATTGATTGGGTGATTGATTATTGTCAGTCTCAGTAGTGTCCATGCAGGGCACTCTTAGTGACTCAGAGCATTCAATACAAGGTGCATGTTAAAAAGGTTATCATCAGCCACCATGTCATATGGGATGGCACTGAGAGGTCTGCACAAGTTAGCTCTGAACACTCAAGAGGCACAATTGCACCTTTTTTGGACCTAGTTGGTTTCAACAGCACTTTTAAGTTCATCATCATGATCCAATGGTTGTAAGTGGTAACACTGCTTGCTTACACAGGTTAAGGAATCTGCCCTGTTTCTAGAACAAAGAACACAACCTACAAAAGACTAAAGAAAGCTCCTGAGGCTCCCAAAGCCCCACAACACTACAGGTAACTGCTGGAAAAGGCCACTTCAGAGTCTCTATGGGCCTAATGTGCATATTGCAACAATGCATTGGGTTATCAGCCAATGTGTTTTATTCCACTTGAGGTGGTTGTCCAGTCCTGTGTGCAGTTTCGGGCACCACAACAGAAGAAAGATAGAAAGACATTAGGAAGTATCCAAAGGAGGCACAGGAAGATGGTGAAGGATTTAGCAGGGAAGCCATGTGAGGAGTGGCTGAGGTGGCTTGGCTTGTTGAGCCCAGAGCAGAGGAGACTGAGGAGAGACCTCACTGGGGTCTGCAACATCCTCACCAGGGCAGCAGAGGGGCAGGACCAGATCTCCTCACTGCTGACCAATGACAGGACTCGAGGAGATGGCTGGAGCTGTGTCAGGGGAGGTTCAGGTTGGATATCAGGAAAAGGTTCCTCACCAGAGGGTGGCTGGGCACTGAACAGGCTCTCCAGGGCAGTGGCCATAGCACCAAACCTGACAGAGCTCAGGAAGCTCTCAGGCACATGGGGGGATTTCTGGGATGTCCTGTGAAGGATGATGATCCTTGTGGCTCCCTTCCAACTCAGAATATCCTACAGATTCTATGATCTTTTTAACATAGCAATACAGATAGAATGTATGTTTTTGTCAACATGACAGCTCTTCTCCACATGAACCAGCAATCTCATACCAAAATTAAGAAGCAGGCTCCGTAACATGAGGTGGGAAGTCCCACTGCTTGATGAGTAACTAAGAGTATATTATTTGATTTGAATAGCCCTCTTTTGCTGAGGAGTCATATATAAAAAGGCAACTAAAAAGCAATCTTTGGAAAAAAAGGCAAAACACCAAACTTTGCACAAAAAAAATCCCAAAGCCTCAGTAGCCTTTTCAGAATTATATTACAGAATTTAGACCCTGTGCTCTAAAACAAAGCCATAATACAAAGCCAGAGCTTCACAGATACATTGAACTGAAGTAGGATTACATCAAAGCAGAATAAAAATTCAGTATAAAGCCTCATACCAGACATTTAGACTTGTCTTTTGTTTCTGTTTTCTTTGTAAGGTCAAATCCAGTATATTTTTCTAATCTATGCATTCAAAATTACAACCAGATACAGCACTGGCCTACAAACAATCTAAAAGCATTCATATATCCAGCAACTCATTCCCCACCACATCATCAATTTGCATCTCCTATTTAATGCAGAAATTGCTCTAAATGGCAGAGAAAAGAGCTCCACAACTGCTGGCATGCACAGCTATTATTCATGCTCATTGCAACTAAACATACAGCTGCTTGCTCAGAACAATAAAATGGAAGCAGCTCTTACCTTCCTTGGTGATAAAATTCGGCCCTTCCCTTTTAAGCAAAATACTTGAGAGTAACACTTGACTTGCCAGACAACTGCAGTCCTTAAATAAAAAACAGCAACAACAGAACCATAAACAGCCTTCAGATTGTCACTGAAGCAAATCTATAAGAGCTATTAAAAATTTCAGGTGAAACCAAAGGGCTTGATCTTATTTTTTGTTTAAGGAAAAGTATACATATTTTGTTTTCAAGGGGATTTTACAACTATTCCATACATGTGTATGCTGTATCCTTGTCACTGCTGCTTGCAGAGGCTTCTCATGGATCATATTAAGCTGTAATAATTTAACCTTGGAAAACTTTCCTGATTTTTTGTTCTCAGGTCCTTTAATTTACAGCAGAAATGCTTGTACTGAAGTAAGGAACCAAGGAGAACACTTGGTGTGTTTGTATCAGCACTAGATATAGAACAGTTACTGGTAGTTTTCCTCTAGCTAGAGGAAAAGTGGCAGATTGGAACTATCCCTTGAGGCCATCAAGAACTTCCCAGTCCATCCAAGTGAATACCCACTGCTCAAGTCTGTTGACTTGCAGTTTGTCAATAAAATATCTTTTCTTAGGACACCTGCAAATGGATCCCTCTCAGATGGTCACTTGGCACCAAGGATGATTGGGGCAGCTGGGAGAACTGAGAGCCAACAGTTACACATGAAGGGCCAGGAAGCTCTGTGATAAGATAGAGAGGAGGATTCCCTGAGTAGGGAGAGGAATATCAGATATTTCTTGTTATTAGCTGTGTCCCAACACTGATCATGCTGATCTAAGTGGGCTGCTGGTAAAAAGAGTATCAGCACAGAATTTCTTATTTCATGAGAATGAAGTTACACTGTACTTTTATCAAGTTTCCTTACATTAAGTTTCTGCAGGATCTCATATGTTGACTTGTTTTTCCAGTCATTAATATTTACATCTGGTTGCTGCTCAAGTTCAGAAGCATTGGGAGTACTAGATTGTCTCTTGACTTTTGAATGTTTTGGAAGATCCAGCTCCTCCAAACTCTTAAATACAGGAGCCCTGAAAAATAAGTATTTAATTTCTTCATGGTTCAGAAAATATTCTAATAATCACATAATTCATCACTACTATTTACACATAGCCTTACTCTTCCGTTTCAGTGATGCTTAGGAAGTCCAGTTGTTCAACAACTGCTCCAGATATTAATGTCTGCAATGAAAAATTTAAAACAAATTTTAAAATATGTACATAACTATATAGCTGTCTTTTAATCTCAGTATGTTGCCATACATACTGGTGGTTTCCACTGAGAAAGTAGTTTGTTTATCTACAGTTCCAAACACTTTACACTTCCAGAGTATTTTTGCTCTTTCATTAGGAAAAAGACAGCTTAAGGCAGCAGGAGTCTCTTGGGGCTGCTGTCTCTTTTTTGCTCTGTTCCATTGTTCTTTTGCCCTGTCCAGCTTCATCAAGCACTGCCCACCCTCCAAAGGCAGGGCTGATGAAAACACTTGAGACTGAAGATTTGCATTCCTCAGAGTCCTGCACAGTCCCCATGTTCTGGATCCAAATGCTCATTATTCCAGGGATGGCTGAAGGCCAGGAAGTTTTCCTGTCAGCCTCACTGATGTTTCAGGCAAACACTACAAAGAGCATTGCCACTCTGTATTCATTCCCTAATCCAAGCATGCCTGACCTAAGTTTGCACATCAAATGCAGCTTACCAATACTTGCATCTCAAAATATTACATAGCTGAAATTCAGTGCAGCATTTATCTGATGTAGACATTACAATTCATTCACTCAGAATTTATAGGAATTCCCCATTTACCTACTGCAAGAGGAGATGTATTGTACTACAGCATTTTTAAGACTGCTTTTGATGGTCCTCATTAGCTAAATAAAACTGAGTGTGTTTCATGGACTTTTATATTCCATTTTCATTGTACATGAGTTGCAGTAAAACATTGATCTGTTACACTCTGAGATGACAGAATATAAAAACTCTGCTTTGCTTTTTATTACTGGTGCCATTCATTCTTTGCCTTGCACATCTGCTTGAACATATGATGACAATGAAGGTGAAAATAAGAAAAGAGCTACAAAACTTCTGAGCACACAAATTTTTAAATTAAATCAGATTTGGTATATTTTACATCAAAAAAAAGAGCCTTCACCCAATTAGAGATCCACATTCTCTCTTAGGCATGTTTAACATGTGCACCTAAATGAAGCAGCTGAATGCAACTGACAAAGATCAATATATATTTTGTTTGAATAAATGAATTATTCAAGAAAACACCAGGAACTAGACATGTCCCTTGTTTTTTTCCCAAATCCTCCCCTATAATGAAACAAAACTGGTAATAAAATGTGCCAACTGTGCAGTGAGACAGAGATTCCAACTCAGCTGCTGGAGCAGGCACAGGGTGTCCCAGCAGGAAAGGCACCCACCAACATCTCCACTGGCCTTCAAGTCAGACAAACATTTCTTTGTAGTCTTCCCATGTGCTCTTTTTAATGGCTAACAAGTAAAGTAGTGACTATCACCACCTTAAACCCTTTAAAACAAGTCCTTACTTTTTATATTAGAAAAAGAATCTTTCCAGAAGGTTGAATAAGGACACAGGTAGACAGAGAAATTTCTTGTCTGATGAATCTTTCTTGCAAGGCAAGAAAGTAAGAACAGTTATATTACTTAATCAAAACAAGCCCCGCCCAACTTCTTAATCAAATCACTTGACTGGAAAAAAAAAACCAAAACAAACAAAAAAAAAAAAAAAAAAAAAAACCACCAAAAAGCCAAAAAAACAACAAACAAACCAAACCACAATGACAACAACCCTGTAGCCAAATGAAAGGTTTTCCATGGGCAGTAATGGCATTTGCTCTAGGAAGAGTCAGTGGTACCAGGAAAGACTACATGACCTACATGTGAGCAGGAGAAATACATAAACACTTAACGATTCCAAGGATATCTTAAACTATCACAGCTAGAAGCATTTCTTTTCCTGACCCAGCTCTTCTACAAATTAATGATCATCTAGGGAACAAGAAGTCATTAGTCTGTCTTTAGTCTTCTCTCTTATAAAAAAAGAATAGTTCAACAGGTGTAAACTAAGATTAACTACCACATAGGAGTATGTAAAATCAGCACCTGCCTTGGTAATTTTCACATTTTCATGAAAAATGTTCGTGCTTTAAGATTCATTCAAACAGTAAAGATCTTAGTTCTTGTAAGAATTTTAATATATGTGAAGCACCTTTTTTCCCCCTCTGTGATTACCTAATCAAAAGAAATCCCTCAGCGCTTGACACCACGGCTTTATCCTTTGGTAGTAATTTCACAAGATTGTCTAACAAAAAAGACCACTTTCCCTTCTGAAAATCCTCTGTGATGATTATGACTTTCAAAACTCATCAAAAGGAATTAAAATAAACCCATGTTTCAGTTTAAACAAATGGCACCTCTTTTTTGAAAGTACCAAATATTTTGAGTCTTGACTCCTTACTTTTATGAAATTAAATAAAATCAGAAGTCACATAAACCCCAAAAGTGGTAAGAATACACGTACCAGTACGAGGAGGTAAGAACACCAGTCAGAAGCAACACCTTACCTGTACTCTGTCAACACGAACCTTCACTCCTCCAACAAGTCCCTTTCTAAAGGCTGCCAGCATATCTAATATGGGGCTGAATCTGCTCCCTCTGAAATATGAAACAGAACTCCATTAATCTTGCACTCAGGTAAACCCCACTATGCAAAACCTGCTTTTCTCTCTCCCTACCTGATGTTGTCTTCCCGGATCAGCACAACAAACAGGGGCCGGCCGTGCATTTTCCAGTACTGCTTAATGAACTGCAGGGCGTTCTGGGCAAGAGGAACATCAGTCACAAAACATCCCAAACACAACAAGCACAGCCTACCACAGCACACAAGTCTCCTGTTCCTGTTCTAGACAGCAGAGCACCTAGACCCCTGATAACCCCAACAGCTTAAAAACACCTCGGCTACTAAAGCAACAACAGATTTCTGCAACAGGCACAAGTTACTCTCAAGCCCTGATATTTCCTAAGAGTTCTGAAAATAGTCCTAAGTAAATGTATGGATCATGGAGCAAAGCATAAAACAGTGCAGCATTCTAAACACAGGCAATGACCTAGAAAATGTGTGTCCAGGGCTTGAATCCCAGCCACTGGGATGGAAGCACCAGGGCCACTTTCTGTGCACTGACATTGATGCTCCAAGCCCAGGGCACATGGTGGGTGGGCTCTGCACTGCTGCCAACCTTACAGGCAAGGAAGAGAGGCAGGTTTTAATAGTTGTGCAAAATCAAGTAGTGCTTCCTCCAGGTAAGGCTTTCATATCTTCTGTAAACACCAGTCTTGTTCCTTTTTTTCAGCCAAGAACATTTGTTCTCCCAAAGAAACAAATGATAATTTGCTTGATGCCCTACAGCATTCCCAGTCACTTTGGGGGCAGTTTTTTTGTCACAGAGAGATACTACTAAAACTCATATTGGGCTGACAGGATATTTGTCTCAATACACTTTTTAGCTGCAAGTTTATGTTTGTATTATAATAATACACACTGTACTGTGTTTCCCTTTCAGTCTTCTGTTTTATCAGAATGCACAGTTTACTCTTCTACAGACTATTTTTGTCAGTTACTCAAATGAAAAGTTACAAATACCTTAATGTCATCAATCAACATCATAACATCCTGAGACATGTAGAAATCACTGAGATCAAAAATGATCGAGTAGCAAACTACAGTCTTCCCTAGTATTCGATAAATCTGTTGAGAGAGAAAACTTCCATTAATCTTTTCTTTAAAACATTCATCAGAACCAAATATAAGGACTTGAAAGTCATTAAATATGCATAAAATAACATTAGATTTCAATTCTAGTTAAAATCACACAGACTAAATATTTATCTGAAATATTTATTAATAATGAGAATATAAACTTTTCTTGTAACAACCTTTGATGTTCCAAGGCATCCTATGGGTCTGTCTGGTCTTCCAGATAATCCCAGTTTCTCATTGACTCCCAAATGGAAGTAAGCCTGTGAGAAAGAATCATGAAAACTGATAAAAACCTAGATACCAGCCTTTCTCATGCTCCTGCCACATCTCACAAAGAAGCCTGTGTACAGTCTGCTTTGATAAGGAAATTATTCAGAAAATGTGGCTGTTAATGCTATTCAGTGTTGGGTTTTCTAAAAAATACTTGTTGTTTCCTATATTGTCTTCTTTTTAACTTCTTGCTGCTATTACTTTTCCATTCTATGTAAGTAAAATATTTATTGGTTTTTCAAATTGCTTATTGAAATAATTTTTAAAGGATCATTTGCATTTATTGACTAGCCAAATTTGCCTTTTGCAATGCTTTTCTAGAGTGGATACAAAAGTAAAAGAGTAATATAGGAACCCTTAAAAGATCTTTGTACCAATCTGTAAAATGAATGCATTAGCAACACAAGCAAGAGGGAATTATCTCATTATTCAAAGCTTGATTCTTATTAGAGTTATGTATGCCTATCATTCAGCTGATACAATTTTGCAAAAATAATATTCACTTATTACATTGTATGAGTATGAAACTATAGGAAAACAATGAATCAACTAATCTGTGAGCAATACAGTATATATGTATCAGTTATACCTGACTGAAAGATGTCATTTTTCTTTACTTGGCCTGTTTTAGGTAAGGAACCCACCATTACTGCAGAATATTCAGAATTCTGAACATTTTCTTAAGTTCAATCTTTCTTTGTGTTATAGAAAGATAATTCAGAAGCAAATGAAAGCAAACACTTGAACAAACATTACACTCAATGGCTTTCTATTGCTGTCAGCTTGGGGTCTTCCTGATCCTGCCCATGTTTCTGCATTAGTACCAAGAGCTATTTAAAAAAGAAAATAAACAGAATTACCTACATGACCAGTTCATCCAGAATAAGGAACTGTATTCAAGTGGGGAAGGATGGAACCATCAGAACACTGATAGCCTTCAATAACCCATCTGTGCATAACAAAGCCAAACAATGCTGAACTTCTGTTTGTCTAAGTAAGAGAGACTGGAAGAATGGCAGTAGCCAGGGCCATTTAATACTAAAAGGACCTTCATTTAATACTAAGAGGACCTCCATTTTGCTGGAATGCAGAACATGAAATGCTTTCTTAACAAAAGCAGAACTGCATTAGCATTGTAATATTGTCTGTTTCCTTGAGGACTCTCTAGCTTGAGGCCCCATGTTGACACACAGGCTACTAAAGCAGTTTCCTCTTCTAGTGAGAGTTCTCCATCCTGGTGTTACAATCAAAGCTCAGATGCAGCACCAGGCATAATTCATTCAAGTCCAGCTGCTCCAAGTACCTTTGGGTTTTTTTATTAAAAAGCCCTTCAATTGTGGATTATTAAGCTGCTAATAGCAAGAAATGGCTGTGAAAGCAGACTGGGCTGTTGGGTTGATTTATGAGCATGACCCAAAATGCAGTGGTCTTGCACACCATCTGTTTCTGTGCTCCCTCTCCTCCTCTCAGTCCATGCCCAGGGGTGTTCTGCTCCTCTCCTCTGCTGTACTTCCACTCCAGATGTACTTTTTTTCTTATGTATTACGTGTATTTTGTCCCATTTTATTGTGTATCTCTTCCTTCTCTTTTTTTTTTTTTTCTTTTCCCCACTGCCCCCACTTTGTGGATATCTTTACCTGACTTCAAGTTCTACTTTCAATCCCCATCCATTTGTTTTACAGCACTTTTTTGGACACATGCATGTTAATAAGTCTAGAGATTTAAACTGTTATCATGGGCTACTAGAGCAGTTTAAAAGTTTCTGATTAAATTAAATACTCCTTAGAACTGACAGAATCAGAGCAGGAAACATTGAGATCCATCTTCTCCATGGATCTACTTTCCATTCCCCAAAATACATTGATTGTTCCATTGTTGGCTTCCTTTCCCCTCAAAGAATGACAGATACTACCAGCAGCTTTTGTTTGTTTGCTTTTTGGTTCATTTTGGTTATTGGCATAAGCTTAAGATCAAACCCAAGTTCTCATAACACCCCAAATACTCTCTTCACAGCTCTGGCAGAGCCTCTATTAGAAGTCCATTAGGAAGAGGTTTCGTACCAGGTGAATTAATATTTTCATGGCACTCCTTTAAAAATTAAGTTTTGATGAGGCAACTGTACTTACCAATCATAAGGATAAAGGAAGTGTCAGAATTGCCAGATGTCTCAACAGCTTTAGAAAAATAAATCCTAACACAGACTTTCATTGATAGGAATTTAATTGATAAAAATAAAACTTAATGAAGGTCTCATCTTTTTGTCTGGGGAACCAAGTAAGTGATAGATGACAGAGAGACAATATATACCTCTATAGTAAAGTTATGGAGTATTCCTTTGTTAAACCAAAGTTTCAGTACAGAATTTCAGGACAGATACAGACAAAGAACATTTTGGAATATATTATCATGAAAGCTGAGTAAAAATGGGTTCAGAAATGAACAAGGAAGAATGGAAATACGGATTTTTCTCCTCTCTCTGTTTTAGTCCTTCTCAGGTGTTAGTGGCAGCCATTATTTGGAGTAAGCATTTTTCTGAATAAGCCACAGCCAGGTTTAGCACATCCTTCATCCTCACAAACTTAAGAAACCCAGAAGATGTTGCTATATTCTCTATTTTTGGGTTTACTTTTTTTCTTGTGTCCTCTAGACTGCTGATACAGATCATGGCATTGGCTATGTGACCTGATTTCTGAAGGAGAGCCCTACACAGTGATCTGTTCTACAGCTGGGACCTCGGGGCTGACAAACAGAATTTGTCACTGCACTGCCCCAGACATTCATCACTCTCTGTGAGACCATTTGCACTACACAGGGTCAGACAGGAGCTTTGTGTCTGATCTACAACCAGGGCTAGCAGGGCCAGCCTAGGCCTGGAAGGATGTGCCTGTCCCTCAGGAGACTCCTTGCCCCAGTAGAAAACAGAGCCTTCAGGGAGGATGAAAGGGCATGCTGAAGATGATCCTTCATCCCAGTAATTTCTAACTGTGGCATGTTAAATGAGAACAGCTAAAGAGGTAAACCAAAAAGGATTGCAAACCCAAAACCTCCTGGATATAGTCAATCCAAGGGAAAACAGTGACAGAGATGTGGATATTGCCTGTTACAGAGGCTGCACTATCAAATCCTATGATGGTTTATGCCTACTGCCTTAATCAATTTCTTTGACTATTGCTCATGTGCTTGTTTATCCATCAAGATTTATTCAGTTTACCAAGCTACTAATGCTATTAAAATTTTATTATTCATTCATTATACTTTGAAAGTGGCTCAGGCAATAAGGCTAATCAGATAATACAGAACATGTGGGCTCCTACATTGCCCTGAAAGCTGCAGACATCTGTAACTTCCAGTGCCAGCACACCTTGCAACTGCATTAGGAGGACAAAAATATGTAGATAACAGCTTGGGGCTGTTAGATACAAGACTAATAGCTTGATATAAATCATTGTTTTTTACAAAAGAAATATACAGATGGATAAATAATTTTAAATGCAGAATTCCTTACTTTGACAAGTTCTTTCTGAGCCCATATCTGAATTGGTTCCACCTGCTGGGGGGTCTGAGTTTGGATTCCATATGTGTTCAGAAAAACTTGCAGGCTACAAATGAAATACAGATACATGTAATGACAAATCAAAGAATAGTGTTAATAATTCTCTTGGCAGCAGATGAATACAAGTAGCAGCATTTTATTCTACACCATTTCAGATACATTGTTCAACCCTTCCTTAATTCATAGGTACTCAACAGAAGTAAATACATACCGCTGGCTTTCTGCTATCAGGGCCACATGTACCACCAAATCATTTTCTAAAGGACCCTGCAAAATAATGACAAAATCATTACTGGCATTGCTACCTAAAGATTTTATTCACTATAGCATGACCAAGGACAATGGTTATTCAAACAATCCACAACTATGACAGCACTGTCTGCATTACTTTTTCTTATGGTGTGAGCAAATTGAAAGATTTATAAATCCTATGACTACAGGAAGCTTGTCCTACCAATAATACTCTGCAAGAGACATTTTGGAGACTTAGTAATAAACAGATTTCTGGTAACCATTACACTGTTTGGATTAATTTGGGGGGTTCTTTAATTAAGAAGAACTACATAGGGAAAACATTTTATTTTGTACAAAAATTTAGAATTTATCCAATCAATATATCACCTATATACCTGATATAACCTAATGTTTTGATACATATTTTTGTAAAGAGTGAAATTATTCAGCTTTTTGGGTAAACAATAAAATTCACTTAGAAGTAATGGCCTGATGATTTCAAATCTTTACTCTGAAAAATTGTCATCACACAACTCTCTAGTGACATGAAAGACATACTACATTTTACTGGAGACAGCTGCATTTCCTTGCACTGTTTATTACACAGACATTTCATGCTTGAAATAAATACCAGTATTTTACATCAGGAAACCATGCAAATAGGCATGAATTCAACATGTTGAGTGAAATCATTGACTTGACTCCCTGGGTCTCAATCTGGCAATTCACCTTTGCTACATCTGGCAGAATGAGCTATGAACAACCCTCAAGTCCTTGTTCACTCTGGCATTCACTGACTGTAAAATAACACAACTAAGAGCAGCTCACATTTTCATTGACAAAATGCTTTTGTCTGCTTTTGTCTAGAAACTACCAGAACATGAATGACAGAGTTAAACACATCTTCTATCGATTGTATAAAAGGACAGCACTTTTTGTGATGATAGAAGGATAGACATTGATTTAGAATGAGAAGTTCAGAGGGAACGCTTGCTTGCTCAGGCAGCTGTGAGCTGTGAGCCTTCCTATCAATAAAGATCTTAGGGATTTGCAGAAGAAATTCTTGGTAACTTTTTCCCCGAATTCTCTCAGCACTACATTTGCACTAAAAATTTTGGACTTTTTGCCACATAAAATAAGTTTCTGATGAAAGTATGTGTACAAAGAAACTAGATTAAACAGTCAGAAGTTCAAGTGACATTAGATTTCCCTGCTCAGAATAAGATCATTGTGCTATCACTTGTATTTATACAAAAAGTAGGAAAACTCAACCCAAAACTCAGCCATAATCATTGTGTATAAAACAAAAAGCAAAAGCCCCCCCACCCCCCTCCAAATCTGAAAATGAGAGAGCCCTTCCAAGACTAATGATTTGTAGACAGCCTGTGATCTATCCTGGGCAGTGGTCTTGGAGTTAAGACTCAGTTGTTACCCTCTCAATGAAGAACTGAGCAGGACTGTGTGACCATAGCCTGTAAATTGTACACAACCCATGAATTCTGCCTCTCACACACAGCCAAGGACAGGATTCATTTACAGCAGCCAATAAATGGTGGTTCCAACACAGGCCAGAACTACATAAATGCAGGTACAGCACACCTGGCACAACACAAAATCTGTGTGAAAAACTACTAGACCTTCCGAAGTATTGTGGAAAAAATGTATCATTGCACTACAACTACAGGGTTGCTGCAACATTACACACAAAGTTACTCTTACTGTCATTTGACATGTCACAGCCTGGAGGATAACAATTAATGACCTCAAAAAAAGGAAGTCACCCTTTCCAGTGATGATTGTACTATATACGGTTTGATGTATATTTTAAAAAAAGAGGTATGGAAAAGCATTAAACTGCTAAATATTTCACTAAATAAATCTTGTTAAAAATTCTATTGTAACGTCTTGGCTTTCTCATTTGTCTAACAAGGCCAGCTCAGGTATTGTTCCCACAACATCCATCACTGTCTCCCCAAGACACCAGAACAGCCCCCCTGCCCAGGCTCCCCCTCCTGCCTTGTGTTGCCACCTTGGACCCTTGGCAGAAGGGTTGGTTTCAGCTGCATTCTGCATGCTGTGCAGATGATAAATATACTTCAGAAGAACAAGATAAAAGACTGATTAGTTGTTCTTCCTCTCCAAAAATGAGACTAAAAAAAAAAAAAATCCCAGCTTTTAACAAGGTTATAAACTGCTGGAGGTAGGATAAAGGGAAAAATCCCTGACTCCATCCCTGGCACAAGCAGAGAAAGCAGCTCAGCATCAGCCTCTCACTGCACAGATGTTATCACTGTGCCTTTCTGCTTACACTGCCAGGAAACCTCAGAACTCTGAAAAAAACCCATTCATAGAGCATGGGAGAAAGGAGCAGAGGACTGGAGAGCCCTGATGGAAATGGCACCCACTGGGCTTCCCGAGCACACAGAGCCAGAGAGGGAAATGGGAACAGCTCACAACAGGACAGACTGCACTGCACCCCCATGACCCCTGGCTGCTCCTGAGCCACAAGATACTGTCCCAGGGCTGCCTGGCAGCACTGACC